GCTGGAGAAAATAACATGCACCAAGATAGAGCTGAGTGTAGCTAAACCAAGCGTAAGCGCTCACTGGAATCACAGTAGTTTTACATTTTAAGAGCAAATAACTTACTCTATAGAAAGACATTCAAGAAAATATAGCATGTAAGGAAAATCATTTCTCAATCTCCCGCATTAAGATGTAATCTAATTCATATATCATGCTGAAATCTAACATGGTTTGCTAGCTTAAGCATCAGTGCTGAAAGAAATGTATACAGCACCTTATTGTAAAATACTGTTAAAACCTATAGCAGATTCTTATGAAAAGAAACAACAGCAGCACAGCATGATATGGCTGAAGGAAATGTAAGACTTGATTCCAAGATATGAACATAACAATGAAGTGTACCAAATATGCAAAGCAGTTGTTCAAGCATTAGGGATGCCAAGAAAACACAGTTCTACACCTTGTACTTCCAAAGCAAAAAATGAAGAGCAGTGTGCAAACTTTCATCTTATTATCCTGGACCTTATTTATTTAACTTATGTAATATATAGAATAAGTAGAGAATATAGAGGCATCTCAAGTTGCGGGGGGGGGGGGGAACCACACCTAATGATTTCAATCCCTTCCACTAAATATTGTGTACGGTTGTATTAAAATGTTCCAAGACAGTAACTTCACCATAACTCTATGCTTGTTCCTATAAAAGCGGTACTTGAACATCAGAGCATAACCCATATCTAGAGCAGTTTCTAAAAAGAAAGCCCGTAGAAGGAGCTGAAAGAAGATTATAAGGTTATCTAAGTTAATTAGGCAGACAAGAGCTTCTTCTAAAAAAACCCAAAAGAGATATGATTAATAGGTTTTAATGCTATACTGTATATCTCCTCCTCCTCCTTCATTTTAGAAGTTTCAAAAATCAAGCAGCAGGCAAGTACAGAAATATTTAGTTTTTAAGTTGTAGAAAATTTGCCTACTTCATATTTTTACATTACAATAATGACCTAATGAAACAAATACTGCAAATGTAAAGCTGTAAATGGCTTAACTCTGGATAAGCAGAAATAATAATATTTGAAACTCTGATTACAAATAATAAGACCTATTCACCATACTTTATATGAAAGCATATCATATAATCAAAGGCAAGGGAAACCACTTATGACTGTTTCAGCATCCCCATTGGTCATGTGCTCAAATTTTTAAGGAAGATCTTTTGTAAGAGGAGAAATATATTTCCAGGGTATTACCTTATTTTTTTGCCCGGGGAGGAAAACACTCATTTCCAAATAGGTTCCCCCCACCCACCCACCCCGTCCCCGCACCACACACACACACTGACAGCTACAGCCCTTTCTGAAAAATAACTACTGTAATTCTTCTACGATGGTTATCTATGTAAAGCCTAAAGGAAGAAAAAGCTGCATTCCAGGAACCAACATGTCTTTTCTGACTCTAGCTGCCATTGTACCCAAGGCCTTGGAGCGCACTTAAACATCCAGTTCACTTTGTCAAGAGTTCCCTAAGGATGATAAGACAATTAAGATATTACACAATGACCCTGCAGGAGTGCACAAGATTACAGATGTACCTTGTGTTTCCAAGAGTAAGAAAAATGAAAGAAGACTGGTTGTCTTATTGGCAAGGGACCACTGATAAATAAGAAAACACACACACAAACACACATACACCGCCTCACACACACAGGATGAGAAAAAAATGAAAGTCTGTTCTCATTCTCTGCATTTTTAAACAAAATTAACAAACATAACACCCTATTGATCAACACTATAATCTATTATGAATATAACTAGGTCCATTATTAATGTTACAGTACATGAGCAGGTACAACAGGGCTTGAGGACACAAGAACATTGATGCCACTTCAATACTAACTTCTAAATTAGCTGTCCCAAATATTCCATTTAGGTATGAAGCAGAAACCCTATACAAAACCTGAACTCAGATTCCATCTTGTTAAACAAAAAGACATTATAGATTGATCAGAAGAGAAAGGACTAAAGTCACTGTGGGAAAACATTCCAAGGTTCAATTCTGTCAGGTACTGCCGAAAGATATCATTGTTAATGGTATTAAAGAATACCGAGCATTGCAAAAAGAAGTAATAGGAATGAACTCTACCCTACTCCATCCCTTACTGAAGTTCCTAGCACAGATCATTCATCAGACGAAAACACCAATTTCATTCAATACACTGAATTGGCTCAAATGGGGTCCAAGTTAGAAGCATCAACCATATCCAGATTTTGATGCCACTCAACTGGGCCTTCTATCTGATATGTTGAGTTGAAAAACATGATTTTATTTTTCAAAGAGTAATTATTGTGGTTATAAAAAATAAGCATTTCATTTTCTACTTCAGCAAAAATAAATTAGTAAGAATGGAAGGGAAGGGAAGGGGAGGGGAAGGGAGGAGAAGAGAAGAGAGGAGAATTCTTTATTGACCAAGTATGATTGGACACACAAGGAATTTGTCTGGTACATAAGCTCTCAGTGTACATACAAACAACAAGTGATAAATCATGATCATAATCATAAAATACACTTATCGTAAATCATAAGATACAAACTCAGTGATGGTCATAGGATACTAAATAAATAAACAAGATAAATCATAATAGAATACTAAATAAAGGCAATCAACATAAACCATGAGATACAAATAACAAAGTTATAGTTATAAGAAGCTAAGATAATAAGAAAGATGAAAAGATGAAGACAATAGGTAACACAGCCCTACTAGGTGGCTTGACATCCTAAGGTGTAGACAGTTTTGTCGGAATTAGTTGTTTAGCAGAGTGATAGCAAGGGGGGTGGCTCAGTATTATTACTCAAATGCTTAATTTCTTCAATAATAAGCACCAATACCTGCCAGGTAACTACTCCAATTATTTCAGTACCTATTAAAATAAGCCCATATTTTTCTGTCCAGGAATCAAATTCTGTTTTCCTCCCTATAGTGCAGCAATCTGAAACACTCTAATAGAGTAGCTTTTTTATATTAAATCAATATTACAGAAACAGTATTTATAATGCAGAAATTGGAGACTTTCATTCCACAAAGCATTTGACATCTTTTACAAGTCTGTATGTTGCACTACAGTTTGAAATAAAACCACAGGATCTTCCTGTTTGCTACAAGTAAAATGGTGAATGAAATAATTTGATAATTGATTTATCAAATTCATAATATGCTTAAATCATAATGAACAGGCAGATTATAATAAAATAAAATGAAATCCAAACCACTATATCAGCAAGTCAAAGTAAACAAATTAGAACAAATAAAGCACAAGACTATTTATTTATTTATGTATTTATTCTAGGACACATTCACACCACAGCACAAGATTTATAAATAAGAATCAAGCCAAAATTTGGTTCCAATAACAATCTTCAAAGACTTTCAGAAGAATATCATTTCACTACATTCTGGAAGGTCACCACTGAAGGGGACATCTACCTTCTGAAGGAAAGTTGTTCAAGTGTACGGGAGTCATGATGAAACAACAGTATTTTCTGGTTCCACCTCATCTCACCTCATGAAAATGAGGGACAATAAGCAACTTATCCTGGAAGGATCTCACTGCAGTAGACAGTCCTGAAGATATCTACTTTCCCAGGTATCTTTACAGATAATATGTGAATGCCTGCTTCAAGAAGGAATAGCAATAATTGACCAGACTGATGCCAAGTAACAAATTTTGTCCAAGTAACAAATTTTGCCAAGAAACAAAATTCCAGTATTGCCTAGAATTTGAATAAAACATGGATGCAGAGCTTTAAAAAAATAAACCTGCAAAACCAAAGTCCATTAAATTAAGGTGTATTCTCAAAGAGGCAAGATTTTAGCTACTTTGAAGAGGAAAACTTTGGGAAAATGATAAGGCCATTCAGGCATGTATTCTGTGGTTAACAAAATGAGGAGCAAAGCACCAATGGCAAATTGCGAGTTATTATCTCTCTCAATATACGTGAAAACACTCATGCAGGAATCACGAAATCTCCAGAACCAGAAAACCTACAGACGGGAAAGTTGGCATGTATGTTCCTCTTGGCTTCTAGGTGCTCGGTAACAAAGAATTTTTCAAAATGACCATCAGAGCATTAGTATTTCGTATATTATTATTAATTCACTCTGAGGAGTTAGACGTTCTACTCCCCCAACTTGAAAACTTGGATGTGGGCATGGCCAGCACATGACTCATTCGGCCTGCTGGCTGGGAGTTTGGAGATAGGGGAGGCTCTGTGGGGCAAGCCTGAGGGAGAGAAGGGGAAAGGAGAGGTTGATGGTAACTACTCATTAATTTTCAAGCTGTGTTTATTTATCAAGCCTGATCACATAGTTTTGTAGTGGAACACAGGTATTCAGCTAGTATTTAATACATTTACTTTATTGATCCTTAGAATAATATGATGGCTCAATCAGACTCTTGACATACTTAACGTTAGGCATTTTAACCATCCCAGTAAACACAACATACACATTAATAATCAAAAAAATAAATCAGCCCAAAGTGTTCCATATAGAAAGCCAAATTTGTCTATCTGTGTGAATTAGTCTTAACTAAACACAAAAGAGTTAAACTGCAACATTAGAAATATTGCTATCTGACCAGCAAATTAAATAGTACGGATACCACATATCACAGACTCATATCACTGAATGTTCTCAAACAATCCAATGGGAAAAATAACCTTAAATCTAAAAACATGCCATCACAAGAGGAAAGCAAGGGTTATACAGAGGGGCATTTTTCATGCATTATGAAAGGTACAATCAAAACATAAATGCATTGCCCGGCCTAGCCTCTACTTGTGAGACCTGGGATCTAAAATGTTTCAGACACAGAATGTAGATTCTAAAGATGGCTGAGAACATTTCAAGTGGCGTCCATCACACAGGGACATAAATTTAGAGTGACTTGAATTTGCTTTAACAGCTCTTTTATGAATGCTAATTAACCTTTTAGTAGTATGCACAGAAACAGCAACTTACAAGACAATGAGTGTGTGCCTCTGGGTAAATATTCAAAGAGCAGAGAACTTTCTTCTCCCAGCATGTCAGCTTTCAAGGACAATAAGCTATTCTTGCTCATAAGAGCTGCCCGCAAGTTAGCAACTGCTAGAGCCTGAAGTGCATCCTCTTTCTCTGGAGTAAGTGGCTGAGAGAGATAACTCACATCACCTCCTAGGAGTGCTTCATCAACCTTTGCATAAAGATCCACTCTCTCTATTCTGTTGTCAGAATTGTTGGGCTCTGCCCCTGTCAAATCCACACCTGAATGAAAGAGAAATAAAGAAACAAACATAAATTTACATTTAAGCATGGAGAATTAGCAGGTGCATTTGTAAAATCACAATTGAACTCACAGTCAGCACCAGTATTCAGAGCTAAAAGGCTCAAAATATATCCTTCCCCCCCATTGCATTTCATATCCATGTTATGATCCTTTCGCTGATATTATTTCATAGTGTACACTTTGCAAGATATACAATATATATATATACAGCACTTTGTTGTATCTTTGCTGCTATAGTGCAGAAGACTAATTACCCAGTTTTTAAAAAATACTCCAGATTAGTTTTTTGTTTCTTTTGTTAATTCTGCTAAAGTTTAATAATGTGTTACTGTTAAACAACATTTTATATTATTTCCTAACTTAAAAGGCAGATTGAAAAAGCAGGTCAATCATGAAATTTATTACTCCCATAACAATATATCTTCATTTTTTAACAATGGCTTTCAAAGATTGTAGTAGAATGTGAAGATTATGATAGATCTGACAGGAAGTTATTATAGGACGTAAATTGCCAAGTTTTTTAAATTGATCAGCTCAGCAAAACAAATATTAAAAATATATTTAGTATTTTTTTACTAATATCACGTGATACTTTTGAGCAGAGATGCAAAAACCCCAGCTTAAGAAATTATGACAAAAATACTTATGATAAATGCTAAAGAATCGGAACTGTACCCTACCTAGCCAGCTGTCTAACATGCATTATCAGTGAGAGGCTCTCCCATTTTTTTCTTGTTTTTTATATATTGGAAACTGCATTTAAAGATACCTTTTGAATTCAAAGGTGGAACTGCCACTCATGTACAAGATCTATTGTCTCATATCATACCTGATGCACTGATACTGTACCTGCACTGATATTGTACTATGCTGGCCAAAGCCAGCCTCGATATCCAGAACCTGAGCTGAGTGGTTAGAATGCAGTATTGCAGGCTGATTCTGTTGACTGCCAGCAGTTCAACCCTGATTGGCTCAAAGGTTGACTCAGCCTTCCAAGGTTGCTAAATTAGGAGCCAGATTGTTAGGAGCAATATGCTGACTCTGTAAACCGCTTAGAAAGGGCTGTAAAGCACTGCGAAGGGGTATATAAGTCTAAGTGTTATTGCTACTGATGCCTTTGCATGATTTCCCCCTATGATTTAATGTAATTAAATAGTCTGAGTTACAGATTTGTCACTGGCAAGCCGGTGTTGGTCGGGGGGCAAAGGTCGACCCCTAGGCCCCTCGAATCTGGTGTGCCGCAGGGTTCAGTCTTGTCCCCCCTCCTATTTAACATCTACATGAAGCCGCTGGGTGAGATCATGCGACGGCATGGGGTAAAGTACCATCAATATGCCAGTGATACTCAATTGTATCTTTCTGCCCCGTGCCAGCTCAGTGGACGTGATGTGCCGATGCCTGGAGGCTGTTAGGATCTGGATGGGGGCGAACAAACTTGTGCTGAATCCCAATAAGACTGAGTGGCTTTGGATGTTGCCCCCAAAGGATTGCTTGGACAGTTCATCCTTAACCCTGGGGGGGTAAAAATTTACGCCCCTCAGAGAGGGCTCGCAATTTGGGAGTCCTCCTGGATTCACAGCTGAAATTGGAACATCATCTGTCGGCTGTGACCAGGGGGGGTCTTCGCCCAAGTTCGTCTGGTGCACCAATTGCGGCCCTATTTGGACCGGGAGGCACTTCTAACGGTCACTCATGCCCTTGT